AATTTATCTACTTAATACCTTTTTAAAACCTATCTAAAACAAAACTAAAATACCTAAACCTAATTTAAAAATATATAAAACTAAAAAATATACTAATAAAAAAATCTAACCCTCATATTTAATAATAAAATAAATAATAATATACCTTCCCTCCTTATTTAAAAATAAATAATATTAAAATCTATCCTAAAAATAAAAATAAAACTAAAATCTAGTAAATAAAAAAAAAAAACACCCCAGAAACAAAAAACTAATAATCTAAACCCCCCCCATACTAAATATTATAACAAAAATATTTAGAAATATAACTAATAAATAAATAAAATAACACCTTAAAATAATAACTAAATAAAAAAACCAAAAAACAAATATATAAAAAAACAAACGAATCTAAAGATATAATCTTATAATACCTCTAACCCCCATAACTAAAACCCTAAGACAAAAATCAATAATAAAGTGAGAAAAAAAATAAAAATACATAAGATAACGCAATAAAAAATATAGAAACTAAATATATCCCTAAAATAAAAAAATAAATAACATACACAAAAAATTTAAATACAAAAAGAAAAAAGAATATTTAAAAACCAACACCCTTCTAAAAACCTTTTAAAAACTTAACATATTACACATAAAACAATATATAAAATAAAACTAATTCCTAATTAAAATTAGTAATTATCCTAAATAAAATATCTAAAATAACAATATAAAAAGAACTAAAAATATATCAATTAATTTTAAAATATTTAACTCTATAATTTAAAGATAAAGCTTTACATTAATAAACTGAATATCACACAGTTCTACTAATAATAAAATATAACTGAATTTAAAATAGTTTATAATTTATAAAAAACTAACATATAATTATCCTATGAATTATAAAATGAAAAACTTTAACATTATAAAATTATAAAATTACATACACAATATTAAGAATAAAAAAAATCTAATTAAAAATAATCAAAAAAACAAATACTAAAAAAATCTTATAATATTATTTTCCCTCCTAATCAATACTCAAAATTAATTCTATTTTCAATAAAACCCACACAATTCATTTCTATATATTAATTATATTATAATAATACACTAAAATTAAAATATTCTTAATATTATTAATCTAATTTAAAATTTTATACAATTAAATAATATACCTGCTAAATAATGAAAAAATGTAAATAAATAAATAAGTTATAAACTGAATTACTAATAAAAACCCCTAAAAATAAAATAAAAAAAAAATAACTCTATCTAAATCTATAAACTTTAAATATATTATCTAAACTCCTTATTCTAAAAAACTAAACATCCTCTATACTATTTATAAATGTTACATAACATTATAACCCCTCTCCTATTAAAAAAACCCCCTATATTAAATCTATTACCCCTAAAAAAGCCCTAAAACATAATCTCTTAAATTTACTAATATATTTTATAAGTTAAAATTATTAATCTATTCTAATATAAAAAAAAATTCTAACCTATAAAACTTTGTCCTATGTGAATAACTAAATAAAAAATACCTCTTACTATAAAGAAGAATATAAAAAATTAAAAATAATATAGAAAAAACAAAATTATTAAAAAAATTTTTTTAACGCTTTATAAAAAAAAATAAAATAATAATAAACTATTAATAATACCTTATTCTCAAAATATTAAAAATACTAATCACCTTACTTTTTAAACAGAACAGTTCTACTTTAACTTCCTATACTAATTAAAAATCTACTTATTTAGATTACTTAATATTCTATTTACGGGTGGCCTGCACGGGTTCTCCCCTTATACGGGGTCTGCACTAGTCTCTCCCATGGATCAATCTCCTGGTCTGCACTGGGTCTTCCTTATCGGATCCGCGCTGGTCTCTCAAGTCTGGGTCTATGACGGTCTCTCTTCAGGTTCCGCGATGGTCTCTGCGCACCGGTCTCTCAGGTCAGGTCACTACCGTCTATGCGGGTTCTAATCTATGGTCCGCGCTGGTTTATGTGTGCTTGGGCTTCCAGTCTCTCCTCGGGTCTGCATTGGTCTCAGCGCTGGTCCGCGCTGGATCTCCTCCCAGGGTCCAAAATATTTTGAGATTAATCTCAAAACATTTTGAGATTCATCTTTAAAATAATACACATAATATATTTTTAAATTAAGCTCATAACATTTTGAGATTAATCTCATCATATTCTTAGATTAATCTCATAATTTTGCTAGTTCGACTTTATTATCATAATATTTCGACTTTTAAGTCAACATTTTATAACTTTATTCTCAGTCTGGTAAAAGAAGAAAAAGGGTGACTTTTGCTCCGTGTAAAGGCCTGTTGCTGTTTCCTCTGCCGTCTGCACACGGCCCTGCAGTCCCTTATATGGGCATTTAGTGGGCGGTTACTTATGCTATAGTACCTATGCTAATGAAGCACCTGGCACGCGCGCTCTACTTACGAGGAAATGGGATTCATCAATCTGAGAGAACAGCTGCGAACAATTCAGCGGCTTACGAGTGCGTGGATGAATCCCACGATCTCTCTCTTTTCCTCCGTCCTCCGTTGTTGTGTGTGTCTGAGAGAGATCTGTGGGACTTCATCAAAACGCACTCGTAAGCGCTGAATT